TGCACAGCTTTTTTTGAGTTGACTCAACTTTTAACTTAAGTCCACTATAAAACTGCTGGGTTCCGCACAATTCCTTCATGTTGTCCCAACACAAAACACTTAAGTTAACTTGATCATTTTTACAAATTTAAGTAGGCAAGACAGAAAAGAATTAAGTTGTCCCCCCAAAAAAATAAGAATTGTGTCGTTTCAACTCATTTTAAGTAAGTAGCATGTTCCATTTTTGCAATATTGGGTTATCAAGGTATATGTGTATTTTGAATGTTTTTTTAATTAATTAATTTTTTATTTAGTAATTTATTTATTTTATTTATTTATCTTTTTTTATTATTATCATTATTATTATTTTTTCTTCTTTTCTCTCTTGAATAAATTCAACTTGTTTAGAGGGTAGGGGTGGGAATAATTTCTGTTTAAATTTCTCTGTAAAATTACTTTGTTATAAGTGTAAAAGTTTAATAAAGAGATAAAACAAATTAAGTAGCATGTTCAAACTACACGTTTAAAATGAGCTAAAACAACACAATTCTTGTCATTTCTTTGGTCAATTTATTTGTTTTATGTTCAGTCCACTTAAATCTGTAAACCATTACGTTAACTTCAGCGTTTTGAGTTGGGATGACATGAAGGAATTTTGTTGGTCCAACTACCTGGTTAGGAGATTTGTAGTTTCCAGCATGGGATTGACTTAAGAGAGGGAAATATTGACGATAAAAGTAATCTTAGGTGTTTGAAGTTAATAGAAAGACTTGTTAGAGTCGAATCTTCACTTTAGTTTAAGGATTTAGAAGATTTTCATGTAATGTCTTGAGTTTTGAGATTACCACCTTGCAGAAGAAGCCATGCTTTGGGTGTTGGCAGCTTAATTAGCAAAACTGTAGTTAGTGTCTTTGCTCAGTGAGCAATAACTGTCCTAAAATAAGTTCTGAGATCAGTCTCAATCAACTGTATATGCAACTCATCACTGTAAAATCTAAACACATTACTTGCACTTGTTACAATTAAATGAATTAAGTTTGACAAACTTAATTTATGACAGTTTCCAGTAATACATTAAGTTAGTTCTCTTAGGTGTAACAAGTTTTGGTAATTTATTTATGGCAAGTACAAGTATTGTTTGCTATTAATAGCGAACAATACCTGTATTTATTATTATTATTATATTAACATGGGAAGGAAATTATTTATATTGTAATAAAAAGTACTATTATTATTATTAATATTATTATATTAACATGAGAAGTAAATTATTTATACTGTAATAAAAGTATTATTATTATTATTATTGTTATTATTATTATTATTGGAAACGTTACAGTATACATGGGAAGGAAATTATTTATACTGTAATAAAAGTATATCATTATTAATATTGTTGTTGGTTCTTGTAGGTGTAACAGGTTTTAGTAATTTAAGAGAACAAGAATGGAACAGTGCATATAGTACAGTATAAATATTTTCCTTCCCATGTTATAATAATAATAATAATAATAATAATAATAATAATAATAATATAATACTTTTATTACACTATATTAACTTCCCATGTTAATATATTACAAATAATAACAATAATAATAATAAATCATCATAATAATATTAACAACACTTATTACAGTATAAATAATTTCCTTCTAATGTAATATAATAATAATAATAATAATAATAATAATAATAATAATAATAATAATATTAATAAATGTTTGCTATTAATAGTGAACAATACTTGTAATTGTCATAAATAAATTACAAAAACTTGTTACACCTTAAAGAACAAGCTTAATGTATTACTAAAAACTGTCATAAATTGAAAGTTTGTCAAACTTAATTCGTTTAGTTGTAACAAGTCAAAGTAACGTGTTGAAGTTTTCACTTTTCACGGTGTATGCTTAAAAATGCTCTTTATTTAGGATAACCTCAAATAGAACTAAGAGACATTGAAGTGCATGGCACATGATAGACATGATATCATCAAACCTTTGAGTTTCAGTTAAATAAAAATATTTGAGAAAATCCTGTTGGACCAACTCAATTGCATTTAATTGTGTAAATGAATAGTTTTTTATTGGGTGCTGAACAAATTTATTGGATGAAAATCCTGCCATCAATTAAATTGAGTTCATCCAATGAGTTATTTTTTGAGTGCACATGAAATTATTTAAGTTGAGTCAACTAAAAAAAAAAAAAAAAAAAAAAAATATATATAT